TGAGATGTCCAGAGAAGACAAGAGAGTGGAACAAGAGCCTGCTCTGCACAGGAGGGGAGGTGCAGGCAGCCTGGCACGTCCAGCTGCCCAAAGCTGCCCATCTGCCTTTGCATCCCCAGCAAAGACCACTGTCCCCATCCTGCCAGCTCCTCCCCCAGAGGAGAGAAGGGCAGGAGAAGCTCCTGCCTGGGAGAGGGTAGTTGGCTCATTCTACAATGTCTCTCTCCACCCTACTCCCCTGCCCCTCCCCACACAGGGTTATGTAGCCCAAGTGGTCCAAAAACCCTTGCCTGAAATCCCACTTGAAAATGTGGTCAGTGTGCATTTTCTCAACACTCAGAGGGTCCTCACCCTCATCAGATTCTCTGCAGGCCTGCCATGACCCCAGACAGTCCCTATTCCTGCTCACAGTGGCGGTTCTCACCAGGGACCTGCAGGTGTGCGCACCTGATTGTGAAGATAGCAAGACCTTCCGGCCCCCTATGAGGATGGGATAGGAAGAGAGCAGCAGCTTTGGGGCTCTGAAAGGCCTTCCCAGGGCATCCCCAGCAGCCCCCAGGTCCCCTCTGCCCTGACAACAGCTGTCTCTCCTACTCCCAGTCCCTCAGGGCTCAGGGTCCCACAGGTCTCTTGGAAACACTGAAGGGAAACAAGGCAGTGTCTGCAGAACCACAGGCCTGCGTCTTCCCCTTGAATAGCTATGAGGCCTCAAGCAAGATACTCAACGTCCCTGAACCTCAACTTCCTCATCAGTAAAATAGGCACATCTCACCTGCCCGAGAGGGAGGTTATAAAGATTATCTACAAAGCTGTTGCACAGCGCTGCATCTGACCACAGTAAACGATAAATGTTAGTCAACATCTTCACTGTCACACTTCTGTGAATATTCATCGAATGAATAGCTGAGAACGAAAGAGGGCCTCTTGGAGGAAGGGCAGGGCTCTGGCTGGGCACCCAGGACTATGCCTGACACAGAGAATGTGCCAGAAAACAGCAAAACAACTCAAGTGCGTGGCCCTTCTAAGCCGGTGAATGCTCACAACCCAATAAGGTAGGCACTGTCATTGCTCCATTTTACAGACGAGGACTCTGAGAGGCTGGGCCAGGCTGCGACTGCAAAGCCAGGTAGGCCAACCCATGCCTATCCTCCCAGTGACTAGTCCCAGTGACAACTGTTCAGCCCCTGCCCCCAGCCCCGCGTGCAGCAGCCACCTCACTCACCAGAGATGGCTGGATGTTTGCTTTCCCCACAGCCACAGAGAAGAACAGCTCAGTGCACAGTTGCCACTGATGCCTCAGGCCAGAGCCAGGGCAGGAGTCGGGGAACAGACCCCTCCCAAAAGAACGCTGAGAACACCCTAGACCCCAGCCTCCCCTCTCCTCCAGTCAGGCCCCAGAACAGCTACCCCTCCCCCCACCACTCTTCCTGGGCAGCCCAGTGGCTATGAGTGGCTCTGGATGCAGCTGCCTGGGGCAAGTCCTAGAGCTGTGCAACCTTCAGTGAATGGCTGCCTTGCTCTCAGCCTTTGTTTTTTCATCTACGCAATGGGGATAATGATAACTGCTCCCCACCTCCAGGTGGGGAGGACCACCCTGAGATGAGGGATGAATGCCTGCACATAACATCAGGCACCCTGAGAATGTTTGTTGAGTGACTGAATGACTGACTAGATGGTACCTTTCTCCCTTTAAAGTGCTCTGACTTTGAGGTTACCCCCAGCACACTGTGTAGCCAGAGCAGAGCAGCAGGGGCTGTGAAACCATGCCAAGGACAACTCCACAGACCACAGAAATAGTGCCGGGCATGAGGGCGATCACAGATTCTAACTACCCCAACCGCAATGCGCATAACTGGCTAGGTGCATCACCTCTCCATAAGGAGGAATACGAAAATGGCAAGACATGCACACAGCCAACCACACCCCTACAATCACAGTCTCCAACCCCACACACAGTCTCACACACTCACCCACACAGCCTCACAACCTCAAGGCCAGCCAACCATACACTACAAACTCACAGCCAACCGCACACTCCCACAATCACAGTCTCAAGCCCCATGCGGCTCAACACACACAGTAACACCTACAATCACAAAACAGTTCATCACCCACCCTAACCCACCCACGACACCCTGGCCACACCCATGAGCAGCACATGCACAGCCTCACACACCAGTGACTGCCTTCCCACAGTCCCCGCATGACACAGAGCCCCCACAGCCATCATGCTCACACCCCACGCCTCATCTATAGCCAATCACCATCAGCAGGTCTTTCAAAGCCCACCCTGTAATTTGTCAATTGCTCAAAACATCCCATTGAAAGCCTAGCGACAGGGCTGGAGGCACTCCCAGGGCCTCTGCCCACAGAAGGCTGTTTGGTTTTTACTTTTTGCCTGAAAAACCACACTTTCTTAACCCCCAGTAGTTTCCATGTTTTGGTGGCCACCTGTGACCTCCCACCCCCATTCCTATCCTGGCTCTTCGTCCTCAAGGGAGCTCTAGGTAGCTGCAGGATTCTCCAAGGTGGGGATGGCCTACAAGTCCCCTCAGGCAGCTGCAGCACTAGTTCCCACCAGCCTCACAGAGGCCCTGGGCAGGCATGGTGCTGGGCTGGCATGGTGCTGGGCAGGAGTGGTGCTGCGCAGGCATGGTGCTGGGCTGGCATGGTGCTGGGCCAGCCTGAGCCCCAGGTGAGTCAGGAGTCCAGCCACAGTGCAAGAGGCTGCTGGGACACCGTGACCTGGAGCTGTGGCAGGGCCTGAGACAATGGTATCCCACCAGGTCACAGGTATAAAGCTTGGACACCTCGTAGCCCCTCCTAAATGCTGGCCCCACCCCTGGGCCCTACCACTGGGCACTCTGTATGCCCCACTCTAAGCCAGGCCCTGGGAGAGCTGGGAGACAAAACACAAACCAAGCATATGCTTGGAGCCTCTGAGTACTGAGCCCGTTGGCTGCCTATCTAGGAATTGGGGGAAGCAGAGGGCAGGCAAGTACAGGTGCTGTCCTTACCCCAGCACCCCAGTCCAGGCCACAGGCTCCACTGAGTCACTGAGGACTTGGGGCATATTTGAAGGTCATGGTGACCCCCAAATGGTAGGATCCCAGGTATGGCAGTGGATGGGTGGGGGAGACATTTGAGGTGGGTGGGGACAGCAGCCTTCCAGCTCAGGCAGGCCCCTTCTGTCCCACTGGTCCCAGGTTGGGCTGGGGATGAGTATGAGAAGCCAGCAGCCTGGAAGCCAGAAGAGGCAGGGAGGACTGAAAAGAAGGAAGGCTGGGGACCTTGAAGTCCAGCATCAGAGAGTTCAGCCAGAGGCAGTGGACCTGGGGGCAGAGCTGGGCTCCGGTGACATTTTCAGAGAGAGGCAGGGCCCTCAGGCTGGACCACTGGGGAAATAAGAGCAGACGGAAGAGGCTGGAGCATTGAGTAGGGGGAACAGAGCAAGGAGAGCAGTGACCACAGCAGCACAGGAGACCCTGCTGGTGTGGGGACGTCCAGCGGAGACGGCGCCAGTGCCTGTCCTCACTGCCTCTCTCAGAAATAGGAACTGCTGTCCACCAGTGGCCCCAGGCCAGACCCCACAGCAACAGGTGCCAGCATAGGGCAGCAGAGTCACTCAGGGACCAGGTCAGCAAGCACCAAGGCCTTGTGCCCCTGGGGTTCCCAGGCTCTTCCTGGGGCTACTTCAAGACTTGTGGGGCCATCCTGTGATGCTCAGCCTGGAAAGGCCTGGGTAGGTGCTCAATGTTCAAACAGCAGAAGCACCTCAGTGAGTCATCTTGCACCTCCTGGCCACTACCTGAGAAAAGTCCCAGGGCAGCAGGGAGGCAGGGCTGGGCGGGGGGCCTGGTGCCGCCAGCAGCTACATCCAGCCCTAGCAGAGTAGAGGGCAGAGAGGCCGTGACTCACTGCCTGAAACGCAGAGGCCAGAACTGTCTTTGCGACACTTTCTTCTTTCCCCTGTGAATTACAGTAATACTGTTTCACCGCTTCCCAGATGACCAATCCTGCCCTCGGGCCAAAAGCCTGGCAGGGCAGTAGCTCCCTTGTTTGGGCAAAGAATGGAAAAAGACAGAGGTTAGAGGCTGCCTCCTGCCACCAGCTGGCTGTGCCGATTGAGCTACGCCCTTTAGCCATCTGGGCTTCCCTCAGTTTCCCACTACCTTGATGAGGTTAGATGATCCCTTAAAGTCCCACGTGCTCAAATGTCCTGAGCTCTGGGAAGACCTCATGCTACCCAAACCCCAAGGTAGAGCCCCAGCAGCCCTGCAGGGCCTCAGCGGAAGTCAAGGGCACACGGCTGCAGTCCTCCAGGGAAACAGGTGGGCTCAAATGTGCAGGGTCCCTGTCCTGGCTGTAACCTCAGGCAGGCTCTGAACGCTCTAAGCCTCAGACTTTCCCAAATCTGGGAAATGCAGACAAAGCCACTTTCCACAAAGGCACGATGCTGCACGGTAACAGGACTCGGCAGGTATCTCAGACCTGCGCAGCGGCCGTCGTTACTACACTGCCCCTACCACCACTCTCCACCACTCAGCCCCCTCAGGAAGGCCTCATTCCCACACTCACAGCCTGACTCTGTTTACCCTTCTATCCCAAATACTCTTCTGGGTCCCAGTCACCTGTAAATAGAGGTGAGCGGAGGTCAGCTAGACCTCAGCCTTTAGGGTTTTACAGCTCCATCTGGGGCTGGGGGCTTACCCAGCACTTTCAAATGGTAATGAATGTGGCCTTGGTGAAACGTAATCAGTCTTGGGACTAGAAGGGTAAACAAATGTGTAATTCATGAATTTGCTAATTGTCCTTCATTTTGATCTTCTGCCATTTTTCCTGGAATCTCTGCCTGACATCCATCTCGTGGCAAGGAAGCAGAGATGCCAGGAGCAGGCCAAGGAGATTGCTGGCATCCAAGGACACCTGGACTGGCCTTCCTCCCAGCTGCCCACCTCCAGCCCAGGCCTCCCTGACCCAGACATCACACAAGGCAGGAGGCCCGTGGCACTCAATCTTTTATTTTCTTAAACTGTACACAAACGTAAAATACTTTAACAGCAAGTCTATGGGAAAATTGTTTGGTTTTAAATTATTATGAAACAGAACCTAAGGGGAGCTTTATTAAATAAACATAAAGATGGGGATTTAAGGATACACACCTGCATTCTATCATAGCCATTTTTACTCTACCTTCTGGGTGTGTAAGGATAGAAAAGACACATCGAACCGAATAAACAAAATCCATTCATACCCTGAAACGTTGGCAGGCCACTCAAGGGACCGTTCAGAACGTCCACCTCACATCAGATGGCCTCACCGTCTAATAAAATTAAAACTGATCTGTTGGCCTCTTTGGTTCCAAAATTATGTATAATACATTTAACTGTATTCATTTTTTTGCTGCTATAAAAATAACTTCTTTTTTCAAATGGCAGTTTCTGACTAATCATGCAACTAAATCAGTGCAAACATTAAAAGCAATCATTCGCTTAAAAAAGAAGCAAAGGATTTCATTTCAAGTATAAAAAATATAAAAAGAGTCGTACGAGTCCAGTTTCATCTAGTGTGGGTCAACCCTTTAAATTGCATAGTTCACGTGGCACTTGGACATCTAGAGGGCGAGCGAGTTCGGTGCTCAGCCAAGGGCCACTTCTGGACACACGTGGATCGGCAAGTGCTGTGTCATGTGCCTTCAGGCAGGTCTGCAAGTGCTATGCGGGCAGGCAGGTGGGCAGGGGCCACGTCCATGGCCGGCCCTGATGGCTGGGGCCCACATGGGCAACTTCTACAAATCAGCTGAAAGCCTTCCCCATCTCTCCAAGACCAACTAAGCTGCTCCCTTCCCTCAGCCTCTGCTGAAGGGGCACCCTCCACCCTCAGCAGTTCAAGAATGCCTCCTCCCCACCGTTTCCCCCTGTGGTCTCATCCCCTTGCCTAGGGGTCATTCCCACCCCTCCCCAAAACAGTCCTAAAGGAATGTCCCCAGTGAAGGGCACAGATTGCAACTTTTTTCCTTTCCATTTAGAACAATTCAGATTTTCACTTCAAAGGTCATACCTGGTAGAAAAGTCCTTTTTCAGTTATACAACTGGCAAGGATGACCTGTCAATCGTTGGAGATCAGTTAAAGCATTAAATTTAGCCCCCTCTTCTCTCCCTCCCTCCCCACTCCAAAAAAACACACATAAGTCAAGTCAGAGGCCCAATCGACGAACAGTCACTTGCCCCTGCTCCCCGGTCTCTGATGGGTTATGTCCTTTCTGGGTCTCTTTCCCTTGGCAAGGGTGTGGGAGGACAGGCTCTCTTGGTCTTGAAGCACGAAGGATCCCAGGCTGGGGAAGAAGCAGATATTGAGCCGGAGATGTGGTGGCAGAGCAGGCCTGGTGAAAGCCACGGGGCACACACAGCCTCTGCCTGGCCGCGCTCCCCACCCTTGCATCTGCTTTTCCTCTCCGTGGCTCTCTCTCTCTCTGTGTGTGTCTCTGTCTTTGTGCTTTTATGTGTGCTCGGAAGGCGCAATTCAGAGTGGCCAGGCCAGCTGGTGGGAATGGTGGCTGCTCACCCCATTCTCTCCAACTGACAGGCATTTGTAGCTAAGCTGCCATTTGTCACCGCATCCATTTGCTGGTATCCTAGAGGCTGCTGTGTGGGTGGCAGGATGCGTCTGGCTGTGCGTGGCTACGTGTGCATTTTAAAGTATTTCATGTCAGTTGAGGGTTCTCGCTCTGGTTTTGACTGTTTGCTCTATGAAGTCGTAGAAGAATATCTCAGGCCGCACCCTGGCACCTTCTCCACGGCCCAACAGAATGACTGTGCCCAGCCCACCGTGCACCCCCGTTCCCGCGGGGGCTGGAAGAAGCCCACCCAGGACTGTCCTCCTCGCCCCAGCACCGTGCCCCCACCCTGCACTGTCAGGCACAGCCGCACTCCTCCACAATCATGTTGGGCACGTCCCGCTTGACGATGTTGTACTCATCATCAAAGTACAGCATGGACATGGTGCTCAACTTGGTGGGGATGCAGCAGGAGTTCACTGTGCCGGGGTTCAGGCCCCGCATGCGGTACTGGTTCACCACAGCCGTGTGGAAAGAGGAGGCAGAGCCGGGGACCCCTGCCAGATAGGCTGGGCAGCTGCCCTCACAGTAGTTCCCATAGTAGCCGGTGGGTGCGATGATCCAGTCATTCCAGCCGATGAGGCGGAAGTCAATGAAGAACTGTTGCCTGCAACAGAGGTTGGTCCGGCCATCGCACTCCAGGCCTCGCTTTCGAATGCGGTGCCTGCTGTCGCCCAGCCGAGCCTGCACTACCACAAAGGGCCTGTGTGACTCTTCCCCTGGGTCCACGAACACCGGCACCACGGCCAGCTCCTGGCAGCTGTCACACTGCACGTCCAGGTTGAGTCGCCGCTCGCCCCGTTCAAACAAGGCCTGGATGGCCTCTGTGAGTGGGAAGGTGTGCCAGCCGCTGCGCTTGAGGTCCACCCTCTTCTCCACCACGTTCCACCTGTCACCGTGGCCCTGCTCCTGGAAGTACACTTTGACCCGAACCTTCCGCCGGCTGCCCTTCTCCAGGACGTAGGGCAGGAGTTTCAGGTAAAGCCACAGGCTGGCCTGGACCACAAACAGGTTCTGGTTGCCTTCATTGGAGATGAAGAAGTACAGGCGGACCCGCGAGGAAGCGAGGCCATCTGCAGAAAAGGGGAAGAGCAGGCCAAGTTAACTCAAGGAGAACACGAGGCTATGGGGGAAACACACTCTCTGCTGCAGGATGCTGGAATGCAACTCGCCACACAGCTGGAAAACGTTATTAACCAGAAATACCGTTCTTGGGGCCAGGGCCTCTGACTGTAACCTGGGAGAGGCAGAGAAAATTGTTTCCCATTGAGAAACCCGGACCAGGTTGGGGCTGGAGGGTCCAGGCCTATAAAATCCTGCCTCACCTCTCCCAGGCCAGGGCTCCCTGGAGACAGGCTGTCAGGCCTCAAAGAACAACAGAAGAACTTGTCAGGGGGCCAAGATCTTAACAAGTTGTTATGGGTATCTGTGAAATCTGAAAAACAAAACCAGGATCGCAGGGGTGGGTGGTTTTAGTAGGGCTTTTTTTTTTTTTTTTTTTTTGGTTAACTTAATGCATTGCAAAATCAAGCTGAGCCACCTACCGCCTCTTTCCAGTGTTTACCTAAGTACGATCTGATCCAACCCCCAGTGGAACCTCCATTGCAAACAAGCAGCTCTACTCAGGTTTCTGACACAGGGACGTGTGCTTTGCAGGCTGCAGAGCCTGGCCCTTGTTTCCGAGTAGTTCCAAGGGACAGGACATTCAGCCTTGAAACTTGAGGTCCAATCCTTTGACAAGACTCTGGCTCCCCGTTAATGGCACGTTCAAAATCTCCAAGGAATAGGGGAGCTGGCTTGTTAATTTTCTCAATAATCCAGCTTAACAAGAAGAAAGCTGTGCCAATCAAGAGATGCCTCCCCTCTCATCCTACTTTTCCATGACCCTTCCCTCTGACAATCTACGTTTTTCTTTTCTTTTTTTATTTTTTCCACGAAGAACAAATAACGAAACTCTGTGGCCAGGGCTGGTTTTATCAAACCTCCCACCATGCCCCTCCCAAGCCCCCATCTCAGGCCTCGCCTGGCTCCTCTAATAACACTGACATCTGACTTTGAAATGGGGGAAACTGCGGCCTTAAAAGCTGGTCTTGGACGAGCTGCCTGTGACCTGAATCTGTTATTTATAAGTCAAAGAGCTGGCTCCGTGAAACGGGCCAGAAATATAACAGCCCCCGCTGTCATTTTGTGCCACCGGGACCAAAAGGCCTCCTCGACCTTCCAGAATCACATTTCTAACTCTGGGCCCCAAAGCACCTTTTAATCCGAGCCCTCTAATTGCATGGCGAGCTTTCCCTGACTCACTTTAGTGGACAGCTAAAACGGCAATGCATTTCTTTCTAAGCACAAACCAGCCCCGATTGTCTCTGCTTTTCTCCACACCCGGCCATGCAAAACTTTTCATCCCTTTTCATCCCCAGGCTGCCTGCTGCCTGGGGGTGTGGGGGGGGGGCATCTGCAGCTAGGGGCACAACTGCTCCCCCACCCAGGCTCCCCGCTTGCCCCCGCCCTGACTGCACCGGGGCTTCCCCCTCTGCGACCTTCTCCGCAGTCCCCTCAGCACAAATGGGGCCGAGCTCCAGGCACAAAAGCCAGCCTGGCTCATTCAAGTCCTGAAAAGGACAGCGGAGTCGAAAGCACTTGCAGCATTTTGGCGCGGGCACATTTTTCTCCTTCTTTTAAAGTTCCGAAAGATTTTTCTCTCTCTGATTTTTATATTTAGACAGTGTTAGGGATTTGCAATCTGGGGCCTTAGGGTGGGTGGGGGGATTCCAGAAAGGAGCCAACCCCTTTGTTAACTACGACTCTGTGCCTCTCGGGCGAGGGGTCTGCTGCAGCTGCCAGGCTAGCCGAAAGGCACCCGGCTGTCCCCGAGCCGCGGCTTTCTCTGTGTAAATGATGGACCTGTTGAGAAGCCTGCCTTCCGCCCGATTCCGGTGCCCACACAATCGGAAGAGAGGTTGCCTAGCTCTCCCCAGCGAGGCTTCAGCAATCCTGGCAAGCCCACGCCGCCGGTGATGGAAGCGGCCCCAGGGGCCTCTCACGCAGGCACACACACACATACACACAGACACACACACACACTCTCTCTCTCTCCCTCTCTCTCTCCTCCGGCCCACGTATATCAACAAGCACACACATCTTCATCCACACTGCTAAGCCTACACTTCGATCGTGGGAAACAAAAACATTAAGCAATCACCAAGCAAGTGCCCGCAGAGCCAGGGCCGCGCGCATCTGCCGGGAGGGGGACGCGCGCCCAGAGGCGCTGGGGCCGGATTCCGGAGAGCTGGGGTGGAGGGCAAGGCGCTCGGCGGCGGGGGTTGAGGCAGCAGGCAGGGGTCTGCGGCCTGGGGGAAGATGACTGCAACCGGGGCGGAGCGCACAGGGCCACCGCCGAAGGAGTCCTGCCGAGAGTCCGGGCTGCCCCCAGGGCGCGCGGGCTGCGGCGGCGCGGCAGCCAGAGCTGGCAAGGAGAGGGAGAGCGGGAGCGAGCGGGGACCGCGGCAGATAGCCGAGGGCCGGACCCACCTGTCTCCGCGAAGCTGATGATTTCGGAAACGCGCTCCTGGCCGTCGGCGCCCGGGCTGGCGTGGCCGTCGAGGTGCGGGATCTCCACGCGGCCGTCCTCGCGCACCTTGCCCGCGTGCAGCTTGCGCAGGGCCGTGACCATGGCGGCCTTGGGCACGGCGTGCGTGATGTTGGGCCGGCCCCGCATCTGCAGGCGGCTCAAGATATGCCGCTTCACCGCCTCCAGGAAGTCGCCGTCCACTCGGCCGAGCTCCTCAGGCCGCCGGAAGCCGCCACACGACGTACAGGTGTCCTGCGAGCCGCCAGGGGCTGCGGGCGGCGGGGGTGGTGGCGGTGCGGCGGGCGACGGCGGGGGCGTGGGTGAGCCCCAGGCCTCAGGCCCCAGCCAGCCGCCCGCCAGCAGCAGAAGGCAGGCGGCCCCCAGCGCCCGACCGGGCAGCCCGTCCATGGTGCGCCGCTGGCGACGAGGGCGCCCGCCGCGAGGCGAACCGAGCCTAGCGCAGGGCCGGGCTCCGGGCTTCAGGCGCGCCGCCCCGCCCCGCCCCCGCCCGCGCCCGCCCGGGCCTCCGCCCGCCCGCCCTCCGGGAGGGCCGCCGCCGGCTCACTGGGGGAGGGGGCCGGCCGGGCCGCGGGGGTTCCCGCGCGGCGGGGAAGGGGCGCCGAGGGCCACTGGGGCCTGAGGGGCGCGGCGGGGGTCTCGGGTCACTGCCGCGCGGACGTCTCGGGGCGCCTCCGCATCTGCAGCCTTCTCCCCATCCTCTCCGCGTCGGGGGCCCCGCAGCCCCGGTTCGGGTGAAGCGAAAGCAGCAGGAGCGGCGGTTCAGCCGCGGGCCAGGGAAGGTGGGCGAAAGAGCGGGTCCACGCAACTTGGCCGAGACGGAAGCGAAGGCGCTGGAGCCCCCGGAGCTGAGCCGGGCGCGGCTTGGCGCGGTGCTGCGGCGGGCGCTGCGGCGGGGCCCCGCGCTCGCACCTGAGCGCTTCGCCCTCACTGCCTCGCGCCGAGAAGGGCCTCCAGTGGCGGCGACGGGCAGGTCGTCCTCACCGCGGGCCGGTGGGCAGCGGCGTGGAGCGAGCGCGGTGACCAGGAGCGCCGGCCGCGCGAGCCCGCTCACAGGCGGCGCCAAGCCCTCGGCCGCGGGCCCTGCAGTCCTCCCGGCGCGTCACACGGCAAAGTTGTCTCCAGGCTCCCTGGGCGCCGCATCCACGAGCGGGCGGCCGCAGCGCGCTTCGCCGGGGCCTCTGCGCCTCCCGCCTCCTCGCCGCCTCCCTCCCTCCCTCCTCCTGCTCGCGCAGCCCGGCCGGGCGCGGGGCGCCGGGCGAGGAAGACAGGCGGGAAGCAGGGCCCTTCTCGCCCCTGTCTCTTCTGCCTGCCGCGGCGGCGGCGGCGAGGTAGGCTCGAGCGCCGAAAAGTCTCACAGGGTCCCCGGGTGAGGTGCCCTCGCTCGCGCTCGCACTGGCACCCGCTGCAGGGCCGGGAGAGAGCTGGCGGGCGGCGGCAGCCGTGGCGTCCCCGCGCCTGGCCGCGGCACGGAGTGCGGAGCTCGCCGAGGACGAGTTCTTCTCTTTGCCCTCTCTTCTTTTACTCTCCCCGTTTTTTCTCCCAAGGGGGAAAAAAGCCGCACAATCTCCGTATGTGCGCGCGCGTTGAGATAGACGTTGGCAGAAAAAGGGGGGGAGGGAGGGTGTCGTCCTGCCCGCTCGGGCTTCCCGGGGTGGGGGAAGGAGGGGGAGGCGGAATCTGTTCAGGTTGGGGCTGCCCGCCCCCCGCGCTCACCCTAGCTTCCCACCGCTTTTTTCCTTTCTGCCTTCGAGAGAAGGAGGGGCGAGCCGGCCCTCTTCCCTCCCTTTCCTTCCCCTCCCCTCCCACCCCCCTCAATGCCGGGCTACTTTTGCTACCTCGAAACTTTCCCACCACGTGGGCGCCCCGGACCCTTGCCCAGCTGGGCGGCGGGCGGCACCGACGGGCTCCAAGAGCAGGACCCGGGCGCTCCTCCCGGTCCGCCGCCCCCTCCCCGAGGCCACGCAGGCCCTGCCCCTGTCCCAGCCGCCGCCCTCCCCAACCAGCAGAGGCGACTCCCGCCCCCGTGGCCGCCCCGGCCCTCCCGGGGCGCTCCCTCGCGGCCGAGCTTGGCGAGGCGAGCGGGGTGCGGCGAGGCCTGGGACGCTAGAGGCAGACCCCGCCGGCGGCTGCCGCTCCCGGGCTACAGCGCCCTTACCCAGCGCCCCCGGCCGCCGTCCCATTGGCCGAGGCCTGGGACCCGCGGGCTGGAAAGCCGGGAGGCAGCAGCCACTGGAGGCCTGGCCAGCAGCTGCCTCTGCTGGGCCGGGAGGAACGCCCGGATTGTGCGGGGTTCCGGGCCCGCGGCCCGGAGGCCACTGAGCTTCAGAGCTTGCAGGGCTGGCAGGATCTCCAGTTCTCCACCCCCACCCCCACTTTCGCCAGCTGTGGAATCCCCACTTTCGCCAGCTGACAAACTTTGGCCTCACGCAAACCTGGGTTCCACTCGGGCTCAGGCACTGCCAGCTTTGCAGGAGCGACCTTGGGTAGAGTCCTCACCTTTCCTAGTCTCTACCTCATCTTCTGTGAAGGGACATTAACACCTGTATCACACGGGCTGGGTGGGAGGCCCAGCGAGTCAACTGGGCCAGGCTCTTCACAGAACCCGATAAAGGATAGTTCTAAGACCACCGTTCTCAAGCCAACAGACAAGGAACGCTGTCAGTGGAAACCTGACTTTCAGACCTGTCCAGGGCCCCAAGGGCAATGCACTCCTCTATCCTTCACGCCCCCACCCGGGTCTGAGGCCGCATAACAATGCCCACAGGACACGGCGCCGAGCCCCGTTCCCTCGCAACGGGCTAACTCAAGGCAGAAGCACGATGGGAGGTCATTCTGGCTTTCCTAGGATATTCGGGAATCCGGGACGTCGGAGGCGGAGCGTGACCTCCTGCCCCCTCCTCCCCCCCCCCCCACCCCGCCTCTCGGGCCAGCCTTGCCACAGTGAAGCTCTGCCGGGACCGCAGGACGGCGGTGGCCCACAAGTCTGGAGGCCGAGCGCCCCCTCCCTCCCAATCGGTGGAACCGACCCGAAGCTGGCGGGTAAAACTAGGGCAGGTGTGAGTTTGCCGACCCAAGTCAGAGGCAGGGATCGAGAAGGATCGAAATGGCAGCCCTTCTGCCTCCTTAGAACCTCCACCACGGCCAGAGTCTCTGCTCTCCCATCAGAGGCCTGGGAGCCTGTGGCCCCGGAGCCTCTGCCTTCTGGGAAGCACCTCCTGCCTGATGGCCTTGAGCCAAGCTGGCCACCTCCTGGTTTTGCTTGTATTTGCGTACCCAGCTGTCTCCATCACCACAGCCACCAGCAACTTGACAAACTCATTCTCAGGCTCTCAGAACCAGCCCAGTCTCTCCTCCTTGGCATCACTTCCCTGACCCGTTTGTGCCCTGGATAGTTTTTTACCTGGCTGTTCTCTCCTCCCATGCCTGTCCCCTTGCTTGGGAAGCAGGCCTCCTGGGCCCTATCTGGCACCAGACCTAGCAGTGTTCAGAGACAACTTATTGAAGTAATGATCGAATGAATGAATGAGAGAAGCTATAAAGCCAGTGAAGGAGTTAACAGCCTCCACTCCCCAACACAAGCCTTGCAGGAGTGTTCCTGGCCAGCCCTTCTCATAGCCAGTCCCACCTGGGCTAGACAGGGCTGTGGAAAGGGAGGGAACGTGGGTGAGGGCTCCCTGCTTTCAAGAAGGGGCAGCATCTTGCCCGTTGACCTGGTGCCAAGGGGGAGCAAAAGCCACTGTGTCCTTGCTGGTGGGAGGAGGGAAAAGGAGGTTGGGACGAAGGTCCACACTTTGCTCCCCTGGTGAAGGAGCTGTCAGCCCCGCTGCCAGTCATCTGCTGGGAGGGAACTGGGTCAAGCAGTAGTCAGAAACCATCTGCTCGAGAAGCTGGGATTATCCCGCCCTCTGCTGATCCCCCAGCCCACGGGAGCCAAGGGTGTAAATTGAGTTCTTCCAAATCACCTTGTGTTTCTAGGGGGTAGGGGCTCCCCATCCCCTCCTGAGGGGCAAGTACCTGTTCCTGTTGCTTCAAAGCCTCATTTAGCATTGAGCCTGGTTCTCCTTGTACTGGTGTCCTCAGCCTTCCATCTAGACTAAAGATGTGACCGCACCTGTCCATTTTGAATACAGTAGTGCACACCAGTGCTGTAGCAAACACCCTCCAAGCAGCTGCAAGACCAGGCCACCCCAACGAAGGATGCTGGCTCCCTGCTGCCATCAAGGAACTCTGGCACAATGGAGAAGGTGGGAAGGAAACAAGGCGACACTATAGCTTCGGCTTGCAGAAGATGGGAGAGTACAGCGCAGTTGCCCTCATGTCCTTTTTTTTTTTTTTTGCATAACCCATCTATCTGTCAATTTGAGAATGACGAAAACGTCCAAAAGCAACAAGGCAATCCATAAAAGTGAGCCTTAGGGCTCATTTGCAAAACGAATTGAGAACCCAGATGCCGTTCTTGGCCCTGCAGCTCCTGTAAGGTGTGGAGTAGAGAGAAGGCCTTTGCACCAGTGGGCAGTAACTAGGGTTCTGGCTGGAAGAAGGCCTTTGGCAGGGTTGGGCTAAGGGACCTGGCATTTATTTTTCTGTCACTGAAGCCACTGTTGCCAAGCTTCACTGGCATATGTCACATCTCTCCAGAGCAACTCGATCTCTGCAGAGGAGGTGTATGCCAGGCCCAATGCAGTGTCCTGCTCAGCTGGCAGCCCTGGACACTGACGATGGACAGCCTGAGCCTGGAGCCAGGTGTGAAGGACAATCCAGCTGGGAGTGCCTCCTAGGAGTGGGGTTCAAGCTGGCCTTTGTAAGAGCTCAGACACCGACATGGAGCCCCACCGAATGCCCCAAGGCCACCTCATGCTTTTGAGGTCACAGACTCAAGTCCTTGAGAGAGTGGGCATGGGAAGGGTATTTTGATGAGACAGTCGTATATTTCTTACCAGGGCAGATGGGTGGCTCCTACATCAGGAGGGTACTAGCAGCCATCTACATCCGTAAACCCAGCAGTGGCCTGCTTATCATCTCTGGCAGTTCATGGGCTTGGGGGTGCCAAGACCTATGCTATTCATCTGACACGGCCCAAGTGCCCAGCACAGCACCTGCACTGGTGAGTACTTATGGACGGAATGAAGTAGGGGCACCAGATGGGGCAGGCGGAAGAACTGAGGTGCCCAGTTGGCTGGGCCAAGGCCTCGTAGGTCAGCAGCAGGCCCAAGACTCCAGCACAGGCTCTGCATTCTGGTCAGCTCAGATGGCAGGCCACTCCGTGCTCCCACATGTCTGCTGCTGTCTCCTCCCCACAGGTGTAAGCAGGTGGACACAGACACATCACTCCTGCTCATGCCCTCATTCTATTGCTTAACCAGGCTTTAACACAGAACCATTTCGTAGGGCTCCTCATCACCTGTGGGACTTTTGAGCTGATATCCTCAGTTCCCAAACTCCTGAAATCTATTATATGTCAGCAAGAACCACACAAACTGTTGTGTTCTGGACCTCTTTCTCACTAAGACTGAGGAGCCCCGACGCAGCTAGC